GAATTATATAAAGGCGGTGACCTTTTCCATTTTCCATTAATCGAATCTATAGTGAGGCGGTCACATTTTTTTTTTTTTAAAGTACTTTCGAATCATAGTGTTGGCGGTCATATTCAATAGAGTTTTCCCGGTCCTATTTCGGTAGAGTTTCGCATTTGGGGGTTTTGTCAATCATCAGAGTTTTGACAAGGTATATACTAATTGTTCATTAGAGTTTCAACAGAGTTTTAACAGTCACTAAGAGGTTTTGGCAAGCAACCTTAGTTGCAACCCAAAAAAAATCAACATCTAATGCAACTGCTGAAACAATTCTGTCACATAATTAAAAATCAATGATAATAATAATAATATTCTTCCTGACATGTACTATTAGTATTAGTATGGATATTAATATATATTAATATGTATGATGAATCATCAGTTTTATAAAAATGGTTTTTATTAAAAAAAATTAATGTTAGTAATAAAAGATAATTAATAATATTTTTTTTTTATTTAGAAATAATCAACAATAGTAGTAGTAATTATTTTATTTAAAAATAAATAAACATCATTTTTGCAGTTATGTGATTCCATTTTTGATACTAAGCCATCATAATTATAGTTGCAGACAGTTTCAGGGGTTCAGAGGCTTCAGGAAAGGTTGCAACTCGGGCTTTAAAATTTGCAGCTGCAGAAATGTCAGACACTAATTTTATTAATTCTTACAATGACAATTAAAAAAAAATTTAAAGACGAACAAAAAATTAATACACAAGTTTGAGTAATTGTACTTGAGGAAATTAAAGTTTGATTGTTTATTAGAAAAACAGAAATTTAATCAAGCAACTGATCAATCTATTAATAGATCAATTTCTAGATACTGTCACCGATTAAATTTGGGAGAGTGTATTTTAATTGGTGATAACATAAAATATTATTATTTTATTTATTTAGTTTATTTAGTCGAAACTAATTAACTTGTTATCAAGTTTTCCTTAATCGAAACTAATTAACTTGTTAGAAAGTTACTTTTACATTAGGTCGAAATCAAGTTCTTTATATACATGTTCATTTACATATTAGCCCGTATTGCGCGTTTTCGCTCACTTTGTACCTGGGCGAATCCGCACGTTTTGAGCGATTCCGCCCATTCCGGGAGAATCTCTTAATTCCAGGAAATTTAAATTTTATTTCTATTTTTATTTTTATTTTTATCTATTATTATATGGGCATACCCGAAACAAAACAAAAAATCTGAGCATTTGTACTACTAAACGGTTTATGTTTAAACTTTTTTATTATTCGATAGCTTCCGGTGGTGTTAGAATAGGTAATTGAATGATTCAAGAGTATCCATGCACCAGATAAGGGATTATGGAACCCAAGAATTACAGCACTACTTGGAAGAAAGAACAATGTGAGAAAATTGCACCTCATGTATTTAAATTAGTCGATATTCACAGCACTCGAAGATTATCTAACGAAAGAGAAAATTATCTATGAAGTTTATCAAGAAGAAAGGAAAACAATAAACACTAGAAAAAGAAAGCATAATGAAAGTGAGAAATTACCCAATAAAGTGAAAATCTTTGAAAGAAGAATAAAACCTACAATTATTATTACATAATTGGAGAGGCCTTTTTTCAAGATAAATAAGTAAATTATATATGGGACATGCTGCAACAAAACCAGACAAAGTGAACATTTGACATCATTCAGGAATCAGGCTTAAGATTCTATCTTTTAATCATTCAATATAATACAAGATAATCGCAGTAATCAAGCCAAAATAACCTACAATTCACTTTTTATTTTTTTTATCTTACACTCTCTACTGCTTTAATTATTGAATTTTTTTTTTGTTTTTTTTTTTTTTTGAAATAATAATAATAAATACACTTTTAGATTTGCCATGAGAGTATAGGAGTAGAACTTGTGATTTTTGCTCTAATTACAATGAAAATAATGGATGTGCTAATCTAATAAAAACTCATCATGAGATGACCAATAAGTTAATTGCAGCTGATGTAATCTGCAAAAATTATAAAGAAAAATTTGAGAATGATGAATTGCCCAAGTGTGAAAAATGTGGCAAATTGCAGACAAAACTGACTTGGATTTGTTTAGTGGTAAGTATACTATACTTGCAACTGTAGGGAAATGGCAAAGGAGGAAGAACTTCCTAATTTACCTAATCAAAGGGAAAGCATGACTACTTTTTATGAGTGACAAATAAACAGGTTACAAGAAGAATTGGCCACAGCTGAGAAAGCATTAGAAATCGAAAGAGAAGAAATAGTCAAATTTCAAGAGAAGTCTGAAGAGTGAAGTAAAAGACAGAAGAAAGAGTTATTGGATAAGATAAAGGGTTTAGAAGAAAAAATTATGCAACTAGAAGAGGAAAACAAGAAGCTAAAAGAGGAAAAGAATGGTCAAATTGCTCAAATTAAGTTAAAGAAACTAAGAAATGATCTTGATTGAAAATAAGAAAATAATTTAAAGAATATTCTGTATAAATTGAAATTCATTTCAACTATAAAGAAAAATGGTAGTTATTTTCCTTTTAAAGATTTTTGCTTTTTATTAGGTAATAATGCATCATTGTGATGCTTTCTTTTTCCAACACTTATTATTTTTCTTTCTGCTTGGTAAATTTCATAAGTAATCCTTTCTTTTTTTAGATAAGTTTCCAGTATCTGAGTATCATTTATTTTGAAAATGTAAGGAGCAATTTTTTCACCTTGTTCCTTTTTCAAAATACTTCTAATGGTACTGTAATTCTTGGGTTCCATGGTAGACCTAATGTAAATTAACTTCATATTAACTATTTTTATATAGAGATAATTCTATATATTAAGATAAAAAAATGGGATATCATAAAACTGATAATTATAATCACATTACAAATAACTAAATTTTGATCCCTGAAATTCTTGGTAATACCAATGTTCACTTTGTCTGATTTTGTTGCAGCATGCCCTTATATCTTTTCTTTAGCAATATATTTATTACAAATACTATAGCTGCAAATCATAGTCAAATAGACTTACTATCAACATTTTCTTCTCCCTTCACATGTGTGTTTATTGGGATATGGCTCTTATATTCTACTGCTTGTCTTTCAAAGTCTTTGTTTTTAAAGAATTAACCCTTATCTTAATATGATAAATATTTGGAGCTTGGATATGATAACATAATTTTTTCATCATACTGGATTTATTTCTGGCTGAGGCAAGTAAATAATGATTATTATCTATGTAAATTTCAAAATCAGGATGGATCTTTAATTATCAATTTAAGTTGATTTTTTGCAAACACTAAATTTTGTTTGTGTTGGCAAAACTTTCTCTTTTTGGTTCACCTCTTTTAGTGCTACCAAGTGGTTGCATCTATTTTACCCTTCCATACACCATTAATAATAACTAATTCACTGATTTAATCTTCTTTCAAACATCACAATAATAACAACTTTCAGTAAAGGAAAGAAAAGGATTAACATTATACCTTTTGGGATTATTATAAAAGTTTGGGTCAGTTAACTTACTGGTTTTTAAATGTTCTAATATCTTAATATATTCATTTTCTTCAGTTTTCGGAATTAATTTATAACCAGCAGGGCTAAAGCAAAGCACTTCCTTCAAATGGAATGCTATTTCTTTTATCACTAGAAAATTCATAATAATAGAACATTCATGGTTTCAAGGACTGCAAACGCTCATCTATACTTACTTAATCTGTTGCTCAGAATGTAGTACATTGGCATTTTGAACTCAATCATAACTATTACAATATTGCATTTTGCCTTCCACAACTGATCCACAACTTTCCCTTGCTCTTTTGCCAATTTGTATTCTTGTTATAATAATTTCTTTTTAATTTTGCTTTTGCCAGATTATCTTTATATACTTGGTATTTGATAAATTAATTAATTTATTAGGTATATAATTATTAAATGATATTTAATCAATTAAATTAATTATGACTATTTAAGATAACAATACCACATAATATTCGGAGAATTCACTGTAATTTATTGATTATGGGAAATCAATTTCACATCTAATAATACACAGTGAATCTCGACTCGGTGGATATTTACCAAGAAATATATTTAATTAATTTATAAGAAATTATTAGTACAGCAATATCCAAACAAAAAAATTTAGAAGGATTTTTTATTTACAATTAGCATTTCATAATTATATATTTGTTTAAGTATTTATGCAGAATATTCAAGCCAAAGAAAAATTAGATACAATCAATTATATAGCTATTTATATGTTTAAAAATTATGCAAAAGAAAAAGGTTTACTGCTTAGATATGCTTTCCAACAATACTTTCATGAGTTGATTTATAAGCTTCCCAAAATGTTAAAAACCATTCAGTAAGAAAACCTTCTGGAACATCTAACGGCAACGATAAGTCTGGAAGTTGTTTATAATTAGTTAGTGGTGAGTCATTATCTTGATGATTTCGACCCTGACCTTTATTACTATCCTTTTGTTGTGGTGAAAATTTATCATCATGATCAATATTTTGTTGATTTTGATTATGATCCATGTTCATAATTCTTGTTCGAGATAAAGGAGCAGAAGATGTTAATGTTGGTGATGTAGATGATGAAATCGAAGGTGAAGAAGTAGAAAAATATAATTGTCTAACATCCACATTACCATCATCACTATTTTCGTTGTTATTGTTATCTGAATCAAACTCACACTTGATATTTAATAAATCCTTTTCTTCTTCCATCTTAATATCATTATTATCATCGAGATATTGTTGATTCTCATGCTCAGAAAAACCAGATTTCAAATTTAAACCAAACAAATCATCAAGATCAGACGTTTTTAGACAACCATTATTGTTAATTCTAGTGTTAACATAACTATTGTTTCCGAGGGAAGAAAAAGTCAACTTGTTAAAATTTGAATTATCAAATTCTTGATTAATCATTGTCGCTGTTGTTGAGAATTCCCGAGTATTGTTATCAAGATTATTATTACTAGTTGTAGTAGTTGGTGTAATAGTTGTTGTAGTTGACGGTAATGATGGTGTATAGTTATCAGATACGGTGGTGGTGTTGGTGTTTTTGTTAATATTATTTGAGGCAGGTCCATTGGGAAAATTGTGAGCTAACCAAGGCGGAGGCCAATTTTCTAGATTTTTTTCGTTGTAATAAGTTCTTGCAGAATCTTCACAGTCATTTTTTTTCATAAAATCATAAACAAAAGCTTCCATTAAGCGTAAAGTTCTTTTACGAAATTCTTCTAGCTCAAATTGTCTTGATGGTGACGACATATTAATAGCAAGCAAGTGAACGAGTGTATTGATTGATTAATTGAGTGGGTGAATTAATATGAATTTAAGAGTGAGTGAATGTGTTGTATTTAATTGTTTTGTGATTATTAATTTGTAATGATTATTAATTGATTTGGAGGAAATTGTAAAAAAAAAAAAAGGGAAAAATTCGTAGTAATAAATCTATTTATGCACAGTATGTATAATGACTAATAATATAATGAACGTGATTAAAAGTGATTACATATTAAATTTTGTATTTAGCTTGGTAATATTATTATGTCATTATGATTAATTTAATCTTGGAATCTTCCAGATTCTATAATTTACTTGCCAATATCAAATATTTGGTTATAAACAATATTTATCATTATCATCGTTAAGTACTTGATTATTATCATCGTTAAATACTTGATTATTAGCATCACTATTGTTGTTGTTGTTGTTAATTGGAATCTCCCATCTCTTAGATGCTCGCCATAATTTTAGATGTGAAATCGATGAAATTATAAATTGTATTATCATCAACCAGCCAAGCATTACGCTAATGCAATAGGCTTCACAAAGTACCCTATTAAAAAAAACTACATACTTTTGACCATTAAATCCAACACCTATACATTCTATATCAAGTCTTTTAAATAATGGAAATACATTTGTAAGTCCTTGGGGGGGAAATGAAAAAAAAATTAAGAATTGTTTAAAAGATAAAAATCGAGAAAAATCTAGAAACATTGAAAAATTACCAGCTGCAGACCATAAATAAAAAAGTGCTCTAAAAAATCATTTTAAAGATTGTTAGATAAATAATATAAATAAAATAATAATTATTAATAAAACAAACAATTGTAGCATACATGTCATTGAATATGTCAGACTGATATGGTCCACTTAACCATCGAAATTTGAATCTTAGATAGAAATATACTATTTAATTAAAAATAATAATATGTTAGCAAAAAAATATTATTAAAAAATAACGTTAATAGAAATATTGTCCTCTTACATATGTCAATTAGCGTTATTGCCAGCAATAAATGATAAAATAATTTCAATCCATATATTTGAACTCTAGAAATTATAATAATTAATTAAATTAAAAAATTAGCAAGCAACAATTAAATATTAATAAATTAGCAACGATTAAATACATTAATAAATATTTTTAAAACATACACTTCTATTGAGAAATAATAGTCGAATATTGTTCTATCTTGATTAAAGCCCACAAATGTAATCAATTGGATTATTTCTAGAAATAAATAAAAATATTTAATAAAATATTTGTTGTTTGTTTGATTTATTCTTTGTAATTTTTCACGGAATTTACCCAGAAAAATAATTAATACTGTATTTAGTAATTGGAAAAGTCTTTGGCGTCTGAAAAATAATTTTCTTTCGTCAATTTCCACCATTTCTTCTAATTTTTTATATTTTCATCAAGAAAATAAAAATTTCTTCTCAAATCAATTTTATTTTTCCCTTCCGAACAATTCAATGAACTATTCATATTTATAAAGTTTTACAATGTTTTCCATTTGTTTCCAGACTTTAATTTTTAAAGTTAGCTTAAATTAACCGTGTTTCAGTATGCCCCATTAATGAACCAATAATAACAATTATAATGTCACAAAGAAATTTCTGGGATCAAATTCCTAAAAAGGATTATTGCATTTTTCCTTTATTATTGTCGCCGAAATCAGTATAGGAAATTGCGTGCTCGGGTTTGTGTTACATAATAATAATAAATAAATGCAAATTTTTGTTGATTCTTCCTTTTTTTAAGCATAATGAACATTTCATTTATCACAGTGACTTTGAACAAAAATCAAATAGTGCATACTGCAACTAAACCAGACAAAGTAATATCGGAATTTCAGGAATCAAAAATTTGTAATGTGATTATTAAATCTCGCATTTGTTATCTTTTGTTTTTCTTTGATATATAGAATTATCTTTATGTAAAAATAGTTAATATAAAACTAATTTATATCAGATCTACCATAGTGCCCAAAGAACAAGGTGAAAAAATTGCTCCTTGTGTTTTTCACAATAAATGATACTCAGATACTGGAAGCTTGTCTAAGGAATGAAAGGATTACTTATGAAATTTACCAAGAAGAAAGAAAAATAATAAACATTAGGAGAAGGAAACAGAATGAAGGTGTGCTATTACCAAAACAAAAAGCAGAAATCTTTGGAAAAAGTAAAATAAAATGCAATGAATCTTATTATTACATATTTATCTATCTATTTTTTCTTTTTAGTCCTTTTAGCAACATAAATCATAATTTTAGTATGTTGTTTATATTAAAATTCTTGCTAAATAAAATTCAAATCATTTATTTTCTTATGAGTTTTTAAATTGAAGTGTTCCTAATGTAGGCTTACACCAATTATGATTGGTGGATTCTACATCATCTCTTTTTTGATTAATATCATTATAGAAATTTCCTATTTCATATTCATATTTCTCCTGGAGATTTTCAATAAAAATTGTTAGTCACTTTTAAGAATCAGTTATTATCAAATCAATAATAATATATATGAAAATATTGCACTTAAACATACTGCAAATTGTCAATTGTATCCATAAATTGTCCACAACTATACATTTGAATGACTTGAATTAACAAATTATATATATCTTCTGCTTTCATTTCACCTTTTGTTGGGGGGATTTTTCCAATTGGTATTGTTACCGGAGTTAGATTTTGACGCAGATCTTTTGGTCGAATCGTCATTAATCTCTACTAAATAAAGTTAAATAAATATGAATGTGCTACGGATTGATTAATAATAATAATAATACGCGAATTCAGATGATAATAAATAATTATACACGTTATTGATAAATAAAAATAGAAATAATAAAAATAAAAATAATAAAAATAAAATAAATAATAGATAAAAATAAAAATAAAAATAGAAATAAAATTTAAATTTCCTGGAATTAAGAGATTCTCCCGGAATGGGCGGAATCGCTCAAAACGTGCGGATTCGCCCAGGTACAAAGTGAGCGAAAACGCGCAATACGGGCTAATATGTAAATGAACATGTATATAAAGAACTTGATTTCGACCTAATGTAAAAGTAACTTTCTAACAAGTTAATTAGTTTCGATTAAGGAAAACTTGATAACAAGTTAATTAGTTTCGACTAAATAAACTAAATAAATAAAATAATAATATTTTATGTTATCACCAATTAAAATACACTCTCCCAAATTTAATCGGTGACAGTATCTAGAAATTGATCTATTAATAGATTGATCAGTTGCTTGATTAAATTTCTGTTTTTCTAATAAACAATCAAACTTTAATTTCCTCAAGTACAATTACTCAAACTTGTGTATTAATTTTTTGTTCGTCTTTAAATTTTTTTTTAATTGTCATTGTAAGAATTAATAAAATTAGTGTCTGACATTTCTGCAGCTGCAAATTTTAAAGCCCGAGTTGCAACCTTTCCTGAAGCCTCTGAACCCCTGAAACTGTCTGCAACTATAATTATGATGGCTTAGTATCAAAAATGGAATCACATAACTGCAAAAATGATGTTTATTTATTTTTAAATAAAATAATTACTACTACTATTGTTGATTATTTCTAAATAAAAAAAAAATATTATTAATTATCTTTTATTACTAACATTAATTTTTTTTAATAAAAACCATTTTTATAAAACTGATGATTCATCATACATATTAATATATATTAATATCCATACTAATACTAATAGTACATGTCAGGAAGAATATTATTATTATTATCATTGATTTTTAATTATGTGACAGAATTGTTTCAGCAGTTGCATTAGATGTTGATTTTTTTTGGGTTGCAACTAAGGTTGCTTGCCAAAACCTCTTAGTGACTGTTAAAACTCTGTTGAAACTCTAATGAACAATTAGTATATACCTTGTCAAAACTCTGATGATTGACAAAACCCCCAAATGCGAAACTTGTCGAAACTTTAATAAACAATTATTATGTAACCTGTCAAAACTCTGTCGATTGATTTCTGAAGTTTCGCCCACAACTTTAGCTGATGATCTCATCAAAAAAAAAAATGATAATTATAGTAATACATTCCATATTCCTATTTCAAAAAACCAAGAGAAATGACAGCATAGATATTTTGACTAATAAGGAAGAATTATTTTTATACAACTACACTGAACAAACACAATTTCTTTATTATTTGATCTTTGATCATAATTTTTATATTCAAATTCTTGAATGTAAATGTTTAAGTAGGAACAAAAAATGTTTTTTCCTTTTCACCAGTAATATTTAACTTTAATTCCTTTGGTGAATTCTCTATTACCATATATAAAATTTAATATATCATGATGACAAGTTAATGAAGAAGGAAGGTATGACACAAGAAATAATCAATTGACAAGTTTTATTTCAGAATTTATTTTATTTATTCCATTAGTTTTTTCTAAAAAGAAATATTTTATTAAATACAAATAAAATAATAAATGAATTATTATAAATTATTAAATATATCATTTACCTTCTTTTTTCCCTACAAATCCAAAGAGATGTATATAAATAAAATTTTAATGCTTGAATTAAATCGATAAATGTCTAATAATAGCAATAAAATTTAATATAAAATACAAAACGGTATACATATACATATACATTATATATATATATAAATTAAAGATTATTATCGAATGAATACTCAAGAAACAAATGTTTGATTATTGTTAATAAAACTCCTGTAAAAATCCTTTTGTGTGAGAGAGAAGAGAGAAAAACATAATTATTCTTAAATGTGATGAAATTTTATTGCAATTATCAGATCTATGAATTTCTCCTATTCCTTCTTCTTTCCATAACTTTAAGTCTTGATTTTGCATCTTCTGACGACACAGGTTTATAGTATAGATGAGGAGTAGCTTTTGTTTTTGAAAATAGTGAATCTAATGACACTATCTTTATGTTAGGAACAGTTCCTTATTAATATTAAAATTTCAATTAGACAAGAAAATCAATCATTGATAAATTCAATTTCATATTCCCAAAAAAATTTTTTGCATTTACCACTATTTCCATTAGGTTTTTTTCTTTCAGATCTTTGTATATCGCGTGAATTTGATAAATTCGAATTCGAATTCGAATTTGGATTTGTGTTTGATGCTTTATTTTCTTCTTCTGCAATCAATTCCTCTGCCTTTTCAAAATCTATAAATTCTAACATAAGTTTTCTGCCAGTTTCAGGTGGAAAAACAACATCCCAGAGTGATTGATGTGCCAATTTTGCTGAATCAATTGAATCATACTACATTGATTAATTAATTAAACAAGAATAATAATATTCTTGTTATAAAACTGATTTCCAACTTTAATTTATTATATTTATGTATAAATGAAATCACCTTTACATAACAATGAGATTTAATCTTATCCATCCAAAAAAATACGATTTTGCCATATTGCTCTAAAAGTTCGCGGACTTTTGTATGTGTTAAAGGACGAACAAAATTTTTAATGTATATGGTTGCAGTTGGCTCATGTTCAGAGGGTGGAACTGAAAGGTAATAAAAAAAGAGAAGAATGAAGTCGATTAAACGCCTTTAATAAAAAAAGTTGTTGAATTATACGGTTATTACAATACCTTGCATTTCTTGTTTATTTTCTTTATCTTCTTCATGTCCATTATCTTGTTGCATTTCTTGATTCTTTCTTCAGTTGATGACAAAAAAGAACAAGTCAAATTAATGTAACATAAAATTTCCAGAATAATCTATGTAATTTTTTTAATTGAACGCGGTTGTATCTATATACTTCAAACTCAAACATGACATTTGATTTCTGTAGAATCTGTAAAAGGAATAATTCTGAAGGTAAAAAACATTTATATACAAAATTACATCAAGGGAATTTACTCAATATATTAAACAAAGAAATTACGGTAACTATATCTTTTCTTTTCATCATCACGTTTTTAATTAAATAAATCTTTTTACATTGTATTATTTCTTTTGTTTAAAAAAAAGAAATATAAAAAGTACAGGATTTTTTTAAAAGACATTACTATTGTTTATGATGTTAACAAGCAACCTGATTTTTGGTGTTTTTTTTGTGAAGTGAACGTAGAAATAACTTTTAAAAATGTTGACGAAAAACAAATTATTTGGTTTGTACTATTGATTCTTTTTCCCAAAACAAACAATAAAAAATCTTGATTATTTTAATATGGTTTTTTTATTATGTAGTGAACACATATTTGAACATATAGTAACAAAAAATCATCATGATAATGTTATCAAGTATTTTAAAGATCAAAAAGCAGATTGTAAATTAATTAATAATTTTATACTGAAAAAAGATGAAATTGACAAGGTAAATTAATAATATTAATATTATTAATAATAAATTGGTTTATCTTATTATATTATATTGTAAATTAAACAGTTTCGAAGGAGATCAAAAGAGTTACAAAAGAAAAATCAGTTAAAAAAGGAAGAAAGGGAATTAAAATCCAATGTAAATCAAGAATCCAATAATATTAGCGTAAATTTACCAAGTAGCTTTGAAAACCTTGCGGCATCTCGCCCTGAAAATCAGTCTCTTTCTATGTCAAATATTCAAGATTTACCGGTATGATTATTTTTATAATTATGATGATAATTAGATGTATAAACGCTTTTGTAATATTATATATTTATATATTTAGATTTCTATTTTGGATAAAAATGATAAAATGGAAATAAAATTTGAAAATTTTAATAATAATAATTCAACAGTTAAACCAATAATTAATAACAAATTAAATATTAATGAAGAAAAAAAAAAAAAGAGAGATCGTTCAAATATATTAGATGAAGATGATGATGATGGTGGTGGTGGAGAAAGAAAGAGAAGAACAAGATCAACTGATGATATTTTTGTACAAAGTAATTATAATAATAGGTGATAAATATTATTTATTTATATTTGTATTTACACTTTTTATTTCTCTTTTGTTTAGAATTAACACGTATAAAAGTCCCGCCTCTTAAACCTGGTGAAGGAAATGTGTTTGAAGAAGGATCTGGTAAAGATATAGACATATTGTTTATTCTTATTTTTACTCTTACTCCACTTCTTTTTTTAACAAATTATTAATGATGATCCTTTATTAAAATTAGTCCCACCTTGGTTACAAGATGATGATGATATGAAGTTTAGTGGTAACACAAATAAAACTGAAATAGGACCATCATTAGATGCATTCTTAGCAGCCAAAAAGCTTGAAAAGAAGAAAAAACTAAATCCAAATAGAGTTGGTGCTAATTTTGATAGAGGTTTGTTTAACCTTTTTTTTTTTTTTTTGAATTTTATTTTGAAATTTTTTTTTACCATGCATTAATATATTTAGAAAGTGCTGTGGGGAAGGATTGGGTGCCAAATTTCGGTAGAGTTTGGAATAATGGTACTAGAAATCGATCTCAAAAGCAATATAAAAAAGAAATGAAATCTATTGAAAAAACAGGAAAGAAACAAAAATAATTAATTGCTGTGATATGAAGATGATTATCGTGACTATTTAAATAATTCAATTGGATTAAAATATATGTAATTTATTTTTCAAAGTGGTATTGGTATGTATGTATTTCTTATAATAATATTTTAACTTTATATGACTTGAATATTATTAAAAAATTTTCCTTTAAATTCCATTGTAGACCAAGATTGCTCAAATGTGAAATTCTTATTTTTATTTGTGTAAATTAAATTAATTATTATTATTGGTATTTTATATTTTAAATATTTTAATTAAATATAATTGAAACTAAAGAGCTATATAGAATAGATGAATAAATTTTAGGATTGTTCATATCCTAATAACTTTGTTAAAATCTATGCATAACTATTGGTTTACTATCAATTTACGCATTCATCACATAGCGTATAATCCTGAATAATGCTTCAAGATATCAATAGAAACAAGGGCAACTGGTCCCGGACCAATTTTGAGTTAATGTTACACCTATATGCAACGCATCAAACTCATCACAAGGATTAGGAACCATACTCGAATAAAATTTTCGAGAAATCTTAAAAAACAAAATGCAGATCTTTTTTTGTATCAGATTACATGTAACAATAATGTATTTATTTAAGATTTATAATTTGTATATATTTGACCGTCATTGCACTTGTATTTATTATCATGATTGGCATCAACACCGTAAATCTGGAATAGTAGTTGTAGGTGGTAGTGGTAATAATAGTAATGTGGTAATAATGAGGGATCGGGAGAATCAAATCCATCACCTGCATATCATATAAGCAATCTTTCCACTGCATCACAAGTATGGTATCTGAGAGTAGGTTGATTAACCTTGATGAAGCCAAATTGGTTTATGGTGTTATTTATTCTTTAAGAAATTTTGTTAAGAAACTTCTGGAAGGTGGATTGGAAAACAACAATAAATAATAATATAGTTACAATTATATTTTACAATTATTATAATGATAATGATCATCTTATATCCAATATTCACATATTTTTTATGGTTATTAGTCAAAACGGATTTTTATCTTATTGTACATTATTTATGAAGCTCCAACAGGTCTAAAATTTGCGACAAATTTATGTGAATTTTTATGTAAAATTTATTGTCAAAAATCCTTTATCTCCAGCTGAACATCCACAGGGTGAAGGTGTTAACAATTAATATTTTAAAGCTGCTGTTGATAAATTAATTTACATTTAATTTTATTTTTCATTTTTTTTTGTGCATTTCGAATTTAGATTCAGTTTTATTTTCTAATTCTTTAATAAAAAAAATGAAAAAGGTTTTATCATATTGCATTTCAATTATTTTATATAAATAACAAAACCAGACAAAGTGAACATAACATCACAAAAGAATTGCATTTGGTGACTAGCTATAGTAACCCCAATAGACAGTATTTTATTTTCATTTCTTGCTCCATATTCCTCCATACAATTCATGCTATGCTAAGCTTAAAATCTTATTTTCATTTTGACCCTGACTTAATTGTTCTGGTTTTATCTAGGTTAATTTGATTTGATTTTCTTCAGCTATTATTTAGTCTGGCTGACATTTGGGCTTTTTTAGTTATTTCTATTTTGCTAGTTTCACTTTTGGGGTGGTTATCTTTTTCTTTCTCTAAGAAAGCTAATTGATTTTTCAGGTTAATCGCATCATTCTTTAATTGCTGATTGTTTGCTTGTTACCTCTTTCAGTTTTTTCATAATCATCCTCTAAATGTTTTATTTATTTTCTTATATTTTCCTTATCTTGTTTCAACTTTCATCTTTTTGTTGAATATCCTTGTTTCTTAGTTGATTGGTTTCTTCTAGAATTTCCTGTTTTTTTGCTCTTCATTTAAATTATTTTAATTATTTGGAGATATAGATGAAATAAGGTTTTTAAAAAGATCATTGATATTGAGTTTTGACCAGGGGGGGACAAAAATTTCCTTTTTACATGACAAATCCGAAAAATTCACAGATATCAATCACTTGGTCGCTGAACTGTGTAAATTCTTTTAAGACCTTTCTTTATACACAAAGTTTTTTGTTGCAAAGTTTATATCAATATTAACCTTCAAAATTGGCGTATTTAAGAATTATTTTTTTATTTATAGTCCTTTAATCTTTTTTTTTTAGGTTAACTTTTAATCAATTATATTCATAGATGTTGTCCGAAACTACTTAATATTAATAGTAATTAATTTTAATAGTTACGAAATTGTTTGTACTCTAAAATAAATCAAATGGCATGGTTATTTTATGTTCATAAAAAACATTAAAGCCGAAATGGTTGCCGTAATTATTTTTTTCCATATACAAAAGCAATTTCGGCAAACAACATTTATCCAATCAAACAATACAAACCCCTCTCTAATTTTTCTTACCTTGACTTAGGTAATATCTGTGATCAGTCAAAAATTTATAAAATTGCTTAACTAAATTCTGTAGATATTGTTCGGCATATAGATCCTTTCTGAAATGTTAGTTTAAATCGTTAAAAAAAAGCCTTAGGATACAGGATAATAGTGTAAGTTTATTATTAAAGATTAAATATGATTATACAATGAACATAAGATGATGGATGATATTGATTTCTATTGTTACAATGACAACAACTACATTACTACTAATACTAAGAGAAGATTCTTGTGTTAATCCAAAGCTGAACTCTAACTTCTATTATCCTTATACAAATTTATGCGGTACAGGTCTTGCATATTGTAGCCAGCGATCAGTAACGCGTTGTCATGCAATATAATGATGATATTATAATGTCAAAATAAATATAATAATAGTACATGTCAAAATAAATGAATAGATCCCATTAAAATATCGTTAAACGCATTAGATGTGAAGCTATAATTAGTGATATGAATATTAATGTTAAAATAAATATTGATTTAAAAATTCATAATCAACTCATTAAAATAATTACCATTATTATTACAGTTCACTCTCTCTATAACGGTCCCCTCTATAACGGCCTCCATTCTATAACGCACTGTAAATCAGAAACCAAATTTTTACTATATAAAAACCTTACTATATAACGGTTTTCTTAATTAAATTTCCTATAACGGCCAGCCTCTGAAAATTCTCTCATATGTTTTATATGTTGTCTATAACGGCCGACGATCATGATCTGAGGTAATCATTATCAATTAAGAAATTCAGTGTGTCACACTCAATTATTAATAATTTGAACGCGCTTATTGTCAGTCACAATGCTCCCACTCATTCTATTTCTGAATCAACAAATTTAAACTAATGTAAGAATTTACTTCTTACCGCCAAACACAACAAATTTTTACAACCATGTGATGCCGGGATAATTAACAGCTTCAAGATGAACTACAAAAAACTTTTCTTGCAAAAAAAAATAGTGATTATGAAGAAGAGAGAAATGGTCAAGAATATGAATAAATTTCAATTAAACATGCAATTAAATTTACAGCAAAAGCTTGGAAAAAAGTTACCAGTCAAACTATAGCTAACGGCTGAAAAAAAACTGAGATTTTACCTGATTATGATATTAATTCCAACGAAATTGAAAATATGTCATCAATTTTAAATTCATTGAATGTAAGAGA